GTAGCACAGTTTCTTCCTTAGCCATTAACACAAGGTCATCTGCATATTTCACAGTTTGAATAATTTGCCCTCCTACTTTGAAGTCTCTGAGCCCATCCAGAGCTTCCTTGGTAAGGCATTCGCTGTACAAGTTGAACAGAATTGGTGATAAACAGCATCCTTGTCGAACTCCTCTTCCAATCTGCACACTTCCTGTCTCCCCTCTGTCCAGTCGTACTCTAACTTTCTGATCCATGTACAATTTGCTAATCAATCTTCTTTCAAGCCAATCGATATCTGTTTCTTTTATGGAATATATATTGCTACACAAATAGAGGATGACCCGTATGATGGTATTACTTGTCCCACAAAAAGTCTGTCACCATATTTTGTTTCTCTGTACATATTTTAATCTTATTCTAAATGTTTGGGCTGGTAGGGGGAATTCCATACACTAGCATATTACCAGTTAATTTGTGAGGAATGCTGCAGAAGCTTTATGCTAATAATCATAGAAACCAGATTATTTGAACTGTCTATAATATCCTTGGGAGGCATTTCATCACCACATTCTGAAGGTATAAACACAGTGTAATGTTACAAGACCTGAAGAAGAAAGTAACTTAAAAAGGCACTAGACTTTTCTGGGGAATATATGTCATGAATAATTGATAGGATAGGTGACAGTAATGTAAACAACTGTAGTGACATACAAACCAGGATATGGTTTTATGTGGACAGTCCATTCATGATAAAATGTGAACATATATGATTCATGAAGTTGTAAGTGAGGTTAGTTGCTTTTGTTCTGTGTTGCAATTCATGTAAGAGGTAGAGATATCCTTTATAAGCTGTGGAGTGATTATATGTGCCAAATTGTGGTTTAAGATCATTAGTAGGTGCTTTCCTAATATTATATTGACTTACACAAAGAAACAGATTCCCTTCGTTCAACTACTTCAGTGTCTCCAATGAGCTGTTAACACCTCCTCAAGCAAACTTTGTATTTTCCCCTCCATTTGCCTAGCCATTCTCTTCTCATGAAAATGAGTAGTAGTGTCCTTCACTGGCAGCCAGCCATAGGGCTGATTGACATAGTGTACAGGAAGCTGGAGAAAAATACACCAGTAGGCAGAAAAGAGGAAGCCTCAAGCACCTTGAACCATACTCTGGTACTTGTCTCTGTGGGATGAGTGAAATAGTAGTGTATATAATTTTTAACTCTCTCTCAATGGTATACTTCTTGATTTTGGATACTCAGAATGCAGCAATAGTTGCCCAACTGGGCTGGAAGTACTGTGTATTTTAAAGTTTATTTTGTTGGTCACCAGAACCTGTGATCTCAAAATATGGGTATAAAATGATATTCTATAGATTCCTCAAATTTGTTAGAAGCTTTTGCATCAGGATACTATCTGTTGTTCAGTGAATAAGCTGGTTTGATTTTCATCCAGAGAACTTTCCGCAGCCATAAAATTAGGAAGTGTTTGTAGCATGGATGAGCTTTGTCCAGGCAGGTCAGTAAGCTAGGAATTTATGCAGAAGAACTGAACAGGATGGTCTAGAGGTAATGCCTTAGACTTGTATTTGGGAGATGCTCAGTTTGCATTTCGGCCAGTTCACTGGCTATCCTGGTTGAGGTTTTAATGATTTTTCTGCAGTCCCTCTATGTATATGTTAGGATAGTACCTAATTAGGCCACAGCCATTTCCTTTTAGATCCTTACTAATTCATTGCATGTTACACCATCCAGTTCTGTAGCATCGGTACTGAATGGTTTGTTAAATAACATACAAAGGGAAAACAAGAAACTTATTTAAATTAATGACTTTTATTTGTGTTTGAGGAATTTTGCTATGAATATAATTGTAAATCACTGAACGAACATGAAGTTTGAGTTATGTTTTCTCTGCTAAATGTCAATAGTTGTATCAGTGACATGGATGTCCTTGTACTTAAAGACATATTCAGTGGCAGCCTCACACAATACAGCAGTGGTACAGATAAGCAGCACCTAAGACATGTTGCATAGTTATTGATATTTTAAGGTGCGCTATGTGCAGTGGTTGCAGTCTCTTCAGAAACGCAACTGATTCACAAGGACCTTCTGATGAATTCTTGCTGAAAACATAATGTTTAGAAGATGCAGTAATAAGTATCTTAAATATTTTTAATAAAGTCAGCTTTGTGAATAAATGGCAGTGTTTATATCAACTTCAAAAGGAAGATCAAGTTGGCATACTGTTGCATGATAAAGTGTGCAGATATTTGCACAAAGAGACTATTGGGAGGAAGAGCAAGGTAAACCAAACAGCTACTTGTGTACCTACATAACAACGTGATATGATATTCATATCTTCATTAACAAAAGTAGAATTTGTAACTAGTAAAGAAGTTTGTGCCAGTCATGGTAGCCGAGTGGTCTAAGGCATGCACTGTCTTCGCTCAGCCTGCCCCAGCACCACTTTGTCCACCACATATCCCACCTGACCAGACCCCAGGGTCGAACCCAGCCCGCTGCAGTGGAAGCCAGCGACTAACCGCTTGAGTTATAGCGCGGCCTTGCATGGAACTTAATATGAATGGGTTGTTACTACGATTTCCCCAGATTTTGCTTATTTGAATAATGTAATGGTTTTAATACAGTATGAAATCAGAGTTCCTGGACAAAATCATTGGTAAAGAGTGTATTTTAATGTGATATTGTAGTGCCTCAAATTTGAGATTGGAGAGCGTAAGGCATGACCCAAAATGTTCGCGACTTGCGAAAAGCGTTTCGCAGTTATTACAGTAATTTGTAAACACCTGGGCAGGCAAATAGGTTAAGAATGTTGATGCTCAGCAAGTCCGTGTACTCGCCGAGCAAGAAGCTTGCCTCACTCGGTCACTGGAGTAATCGTAAGAGACCGCATACACAGCAATAAGACGCAAGGGGTCCGCCCACAACCACCCATGAGAACCAATTAGAATGTTACTGTGAGGATTGAGGACACTGGGGGGGGGGTCACCTACCCTCTGTCGTCAACGCTGAATCAGCGAATTAAAACTATAAATTATGGAATTTCGGGGGACTTGGGATCATGTTCTAACACAGAATATCAGTTGTCAGCCGGAGGCTCTCAGCGACATGAATACCATAAGAGGGTGGATGACGGCAGTAATCTACATGTGTATTGCAAGTAAGTCTCTTTGCTCATATACGGCATGCTGTTAGATGTCATTGTTGATACAAGTGTTATTGCGAGATGTTAAGGCAGTCTCCAGTGTACCTAGTGAGAGCCAGGGTAGAACAGGGTAGGAATGAACGGATAGTGGCAGACGAGGATAGGAGTACAGTTTCAAGGCACCTCCCCTCCACCGACAAAGAAGGTAGAAATAGCTTAGCAAGAAGTGTCATGTAAGCAGACCAAATTAGGTCCTTTTCTTAATGTAATTATTATTGTAAATAGACAGTGTACATAGTGGAAAATGTACGCAGGTCGTTGTGATTCACCCGTTCGCAACCATCCTGTCCTCAACCGATCCCGAGTGACCCTAGCAAAGACAGCCGACGGCAGCCGAGTGCAGCGACGATGTTAGGAAAAAGAGTAACCATAGACTAAAGTAATTATATTTTCTCACCCCCTCCCCATGAGGTGTAACAGATATATATAAAGTAATAAAATATAAGACAATGTATATATGTATATTAACGTGAAGCCACTTTCCAGTTTTTTTTCTTTCGGTGTAGTTAATGGGCCATTGCCCGTGCACCATATGAAAATAAGTCGGAAATTAACAATTAATAAAGAAATTGTCATATAGAGAAACGTCTTCTGGGACGGGTCTGGTGGGGGTTGCACGCATGCGTAGTGTGTGTGTGTACACAAATCTACGGGCTAACGCCGCCCGCGCACTAGGCGGCCACAACGGTCACAACAGCGACCAGTGTTGGGTGGCCAGCCGCTGAACGTGCGGCCAAACGAGCGACCGATATCGTCATTAGTTTCAAAATGGAAGTCGAAGAGATCGCAGCTGTTTCATATCTGTATTATAGGACAAAACGCAGGTACAAAAGAAAGTACTGGGTGCATCCACTCTTAAGCTCCAGGTCAACAAAAGGAATGTTTACTACGTTTTTTATAGAACTGAGAACTTATGAAGAGAAGTTCTTCAGTTACACAAGAATGTCTATCAAATCATTTGGCGAACTGCTTGATACAATAAGGCCCCTAATTACTGGCATTAATACCACAATGAGGCCGTGCATCAGTGCAGAAGAGAAGTTATTAGTCACATTGAGGTAAGCAAAAATTAAAAATATAACAAGCAGCATGCCCCTAAAGTCTTGCAATATGATTAAGTATAGTGTTCTTTTCATACGCATGTCTGAACAGGACTTTATTCGTACATATCACCGTACACACTCACTATATCACATGCTGGAGACTGCGTTGATGTGTCACTTGCCAGTGTTTCTGCAGGAGACTGTACAAATCTTCTGAATTGTGGGGTTTGGCAGCTGAAGTTGATGGACGGGGATCATTTGGTGGCTGCTGCACGAAGTGAGACTGAATAAAATAGCCCGGATGATATTCCTGCTGCTGATTTTGTGTAAGGATGGTGGACGATAGTGGTGTCCCGCTTGAAAGCTGCGAGTGTTGATGTGAGTTGTGATACTTCTGCGCCCTCTGTATCACCTGTATTATTTCCATTTTAGTCTGCAGTTTCAAGTAATTAGGAACACTTGCAAGGTCGTTATGCAAGGAGAGTAGAAAAAGTTTATCGTCGTCCATTTGGGTCCTTTCTTCTATTTCTCGTGCCTCTCTTGCCGCTGCGGCCTCCTTCAGTATACTGACCAGTTCGTTCCCCACTGGGTCTTCTACGCTTCTTTTCTTGGAGTGAGATCGTCTAAAGCCAGCATATGGTCCCTCAGCACGAGTCTGCTCCGAAGAGTCCTGGATATCTTCTCTAGGCAATACATTTGTTTCAGTTTCATTCACTGCTATAGCTCTACTTAAAAATAACAAATTGTTGTAATACATGTAACATGATTTTCTGGATGCTGCTGAACCACTTTTAGGGTTTTTAAGGCGTCTCCTTTCCCTTGCGAAACTATCCCGCAAGTTTTTCCACTTCTTTTGAAGAGAAATGCCTGAAATAAAATTAATAATTTTCACTTTAGGTATTTGGCCACAGGATGTACATTTGCAGACCTTCATCACACATTTCGGCTGGGTGAAACGACACTGAGAGAAGCACTCAGACAAGTATGCCATGCAATCTGGACAAATCAGAGAGCAACATGTTTACCTGAGCCTACAAGAGATCAGTGGTTAAAAATAGCTCAACAATATAATGCAGTGACTAATTTTCCAAACTGTGTCGGTGCTCTTGATGGAAAGCACATACGTGTTGTGAAACCGGCACATAGTGGGTCACTCTTCTAAAACTATAAACATCAGTTTTCTTTCGTTCTAATAGCTTCTGCTAGTGCTGATTACAAATTTACATTCACTGATGTCGGTGCGTATGGAAAATGTTCCGATTCTACAGTTTTTAATCAGTCACTCTTTTGCAACAAACTTCAGAGTAATAAATTAGATATACCAGAGGGCAGACCAATTTCCAGCTCAGATAACAGACCAATTCCCTATGTGTTTATGGCAGATGAAGGCTTCGGTTTGACAGATAAAGTAATGCGCCCATTCTCTGGAAGTCGTTTGGATTTCAGAAAAAGGGTTTTCAATTATAGACTGTGTAGAGCGAGGCGCATCATTGAGTGTACTTTCGGTATACTAGCCAACAAGTGGAGAACTTTTCAGAGGCCTTTAGATGTTGACATTGATTTTGCTATGAATATAGTAAAATGTTGTTGCATTCTACACAATTTTGTTCGCGATCGTGATGGTGTTGAGCAGATTGAAGAAGATTTAGGTTCTTGCGACTTTAATAATTTTCAGAACTGCGGGGCAAGGCCAAACATAAATGGTTTTTCTGTTAGAGATTGTTTTGCAGATTATTTTGTAGGTGAAGGGAGCGTTCCATGGCAAAATGAATGTATGTGATACCTTCAATGTGAATTTCAGTTCACAAGGCACACAACGAAATTGAAGTACTGAATGTACAATAAAGTGAAAATGACCGTGAATTTCCTGTTCTTAAACAATGCAGTAAAGTTTCTGTTCCAAAATTAGACACTGATGGTAATAATGAATATTAATAACGAATGAATAAAAAAGATAAGATGACACCCAGGACTTCTTTTCCTTTATTATCTGAACACCTGTCACCTCCAAATAATTCGATGATTTCCTGCCATTCTCTTTTCTTTATATTGAGGTCACTGTAGGATTTCCGTAACATATCCCAAGTTGCCGGCCGTTTTTCAATTTCTTCGATGAACTTTACGTTGTCAATATCCATGGTGAGATCGTTCTCACTACTGAACAGCAGAAATGTTTACAGCTTGGCGGGTATTAAGGCTGGCCGCGCGGCTGGCAGTAGTGAGTGCGCGGTTGCCCTTTTGCCACAATAGGAATAGCTGGCCGCCGCGACGGCCGCGACTGACTGGCCGCTGACTTGTCGCTCTACGTAGCGACCAATGCCGCGACCAGCTGTCCGCTGTCGTTAAGTGCGCGGTTGTCCATATACAAGGGTATTTAGCTGGCCACGGCCACACTGGTCGCTGTCGTGGCCGCCTAGTGCGCGGGCAGCGTAAGATGTAGCGTAGGTGTGTTCGTGAGAAGCTAGCAATGCTAAATTATTTGCAAGTAGTTCAATCTGTGAAGTAGGCCAAGAACTTGGGTTCTGCTGCTGCGTATGGAATTCAAGTGGCTGTGGTTCGCGACAATTTTTGATGTTTGTTGCTGCGATGTTTAATTGTCGATTTCACGTAGTATGCAGTTGATAGATTATACAATTAATTAAATATTGGTAGGGTATGTGCACGCAAGAATGACTCAGCCAAGCCTAATCGACACCAACTGAATTTTAGCCAGAAGTATCCTTAGTTAACTGTCGTGAGATTGTACATGCTGAACATTAAAATGGCTATAAAGAAAGAAAAGTACGAGTTGATCGAAGAAATACCCGACGATTCATCACTTAAGCGAGATCAGCGTATTGATATAAAGTATGAGGAGGGTTATGATCTACCTGCATTTCCAGTAATTCTATGTGAAGATAAGGTGAGTTCTGTTAACAAATGTTTCTTGTAACACAGAGGAATACAGTGAAGATTATTGTTTGTTAACCGCTTCCACGGCGACAGGTGCGCTACGAGGCGCATACGGATGTTGCCGTTAAATACACCCGCCTGAAGTCCGGTAATGTTAGGAACCAACGAAATAGTCTCAATTCGCAGCGCTATGGAGGTGTTTAAATGTCGACTCTGTACACGTAGATATCATTAGCAACACTTCTGCTTGTACGTACAGCACAATGGAATCCCAGATTTTCTTATAAAAATATGTATCACAAGTATAAAAAAAACCACTCAATTTTATACTTTAATTTCTTGTTCGAACACATCCATTTGAGGCCGAAGCCTAGATACAGAGTTGTGTCAAATTATCTTGCTAATACAATCAAGAAATTGTCTAATAAAATCTGTGTATAATTTATAACAAAAATTGTTTACATCATAGTAAAGTTATTCTCTAATATTTAAACGTTAAAACTCCAACAACTTATATTTAATGAATCATTAATCAAGGGGTTTCGCTGATTTATTGAAAATTGCAAAGATCAAGCCAGTTTACAAAAGAGGAAACAAACATGAAGCGAATAACTATAGACTTATATCGGTACTATCAGTATTCTCAAAGATCTTGGAAAAAATAGTATACAGTAGACTGGTGTCCTTTACAGTTAAATTTAAAACATTAACTGAAAAACAATATGGATTCCAAAAAGATAAATCAACATCAGCGTGTCAGTCGTTTATCGGGAAGATAAAAGAAGCTTTGGATAAGAAATTACTACCAGTGTGTATTTTCTTTGATTTAACAAAGAAATTAGAAAAATTAGAGCATTATGGGATAAGAGGGCAAATCAATGCCTGACTAAAATCATATCTAACACTTAGGGCACAATATGTGGAATTAATTTCTAATGGCAACAGGGACTGTATGACTCATTTTACTTAAAAAATAAGGAATATAAAGGCAGGGATTCCACAAGGGTCAACATTGGGCCCGTTTTTGTTTTTGATTTACATAAATGACCTACCCATCCATATAACTAAAGGGGAAGTGGTGGTGTTTGCAGATGATACCAGTATACTGGTAATAGAAAAGAACAAAAATATTCTTCAAGACAACACAGATAAGGTAATGAAGCAACTCGAATCTTGGTTTTCAATGAATAATATGGTAATAAATAATGAGAAGACTACAGCAAGGTATTTCCATATGAATAAACTACAAGATAGCATTGAGCCAGTAATTACCTTTAAAAATATAATAATTAATTATGCAGCACAGTTTAGGTCTCTTGGTATTAATTTAACCCACAAATTAAAATGGAACATTCATATTCAGTCGGTCTGTACAAAGCTGAGTAAGGTGTGTTACATTATTAAAGCTTTGAAAGGTGAAGTAAGCCCATAAGTCCTTAGGAATGTATACTTTGCTAAATTCCAATCTCAAATAAGTTATGGTTTGATATTTTGGGAGGGAGAAAGTGAAAGTAAAAAAATTCTGATTTTGCAAAAAAGGGTTCTTCAAATAATGAAAGGGGTAACAAAAAGAACATCGTGTAGACCTAGATTTCGAGAATTAAAAACTTTAATGGTGACCTCTTTGTATATTTTAGAGGTGTTAACGTTATTTCAAGAAATATAACATTTACACCACAAGAAACTGACCTACATAAGTATGACACAAGAAAGAAGACCTTAACATGCAAAGTTGTAATACCTTAACATATGAGAAGGGTGTTACGAATATGGCTATTAAGCTTTATAATAGACTGCCTTTGGAACTAAGAATGATAAAAGCAGATAGAGAATTCCTACATAGACTCAGAAGATATTTACTGGAACACCCATTGTATAATTTGCATGAGTTCCTCTCAGAAGGACAGTTAAACGAATAAGATTCTCCTTGATAAATAGATTTAAGTGTAAATAAAATGACTAGTAATTAGGTGAAGTTTTTAATATGATTCAGCCTATAAAGGGAATGGAAGTCTTAAAAGAGATTGCACTCCAAATTGTTTAATCGTTATCTAAATTGAATTTTATCTTTTGTGGACTATTTTGATATAATAGGTTTTAAGTTTAAGAATATGATGGTGGTAATTAAGATATATATAGTAAGATGACCTTGTTTTTATAATGGAAGGTAGTCGTAAATTTGATTGCACCTAATATATTTTAATTATACTGAGAGTGTGATTTTAATTAATTTAATTAATTTTAAACCCTAAGAAGTTCAAAATTTGTTTAAAGCATTTTCTTTATCTTCATCATTTTTATTCTGTGGAAGAATATTTCCAATATAAATCATTATAAGTTAATGATTATGCATTCACTAGAATCACCTGTTGATCATCCAGTCTTTTATTAGTATTATTCTAGTCATTATTCTATTATTCTAGTCTAGTCATTTAAGCAATTTCTGTGATATGTTCAAACTGACATTGTTTAAATTTAAACTGCATGTTTCATTAAATTAACTTATATGACTGGAATCTATTTGATTCTACATGTTTTGTTTCAATTTTTGTATTTTATACTTTTTTATTTATGTACTTAGTTCTTGCTCTATTAATTTTAAGAATAATCACTGTATGGACATGTCCTATATCTCACTTGTATTGTGGATCCATGGAACGAAAAATAAATGAATGAATGAATGTTATGTTATGTGATATATGATGACGTTCAATCGATTGGGCAGGAGGCCAATTAGACTGGAAAAGTTGTATACGTATGTGACTTGTTTGAAGGTTACAGTTCGTAACTGTGATGAATGTTAAATAAAATTATTATTATTATTATCAGACACCAACTCTTACTTAATGGCAAAGACAAGCCAACTCCATCTAGTGTGACTATTTAAGTTTTACTACTTGAAAACTTAGCACCCTTACATGTTTCGATCCTTACGGATCATCTTCAGAGGGAACATTAATACTTATTTGGAAACCACTATCACAACTGGTGTTCTGAGTGCTAATTACATACACACACAGTGCCTGGATTACACAATATACACAATATCCATTTTTCACAATCACAGCAGCTTTCCTGGTATTAAACTTTAAAAACTTTGTTGTTTAAGTTAAAATTTATAAACCAAGTGGTTCGTGTCACTTCTCCTATCGCCTTGGTTTATAAATTTTAACTTAAACAACAAAGTTTTTAAAGTTTAATACCAGGAAAGCTGCTGTGATTGTGAAAAATGGATATTGTGTATATTGTGTAATCCAGGCACTGTGTGTGTATGTAATTAGCACTCAGAACACCAGTTGTGATAGTGGTTTCCAAATAAGTATTAATGTTCCCTCTGAAGATGATCCGTAAGGATCGAAACATGTAAGGATGCTTAGTTTTCAAGTAGTAAAACTTAAAATAGTCACACTGGATGGAGTTCGCTTGTCTTTGTAATTGTTAATGTGACGGACCAGAATGAAACAAATCAAACTTACTTAATGGAGCAGGACTTTGTGGTTCAGATGTGGGCTCTGAGAAATCCAGTAGTGACTATTTTGCGTTTAGGTATCCGTACAAGTGAAGACACGTTTCATCAGAAACGAATGTCAGTTGTGGGTTGATCTCACCTTGTATAGATTATAGAAACCAGCTGCAAAAATGAACTGTGCTACTTGAATTGTGTGGCTGCTATATGGATTACTATTATTTTACAGGGTCAAAACCTCAGCGGTTGTGTTGCCATTCTTGCACTTGACTTTGACACTCCAGTCTCTTGAGGTAGACATTTCTTTCATTTTCTAGGTGTAGAAGTCTGGACTGTACAAGGATGTAATCTAATTTCTCAGTAAACACTTGGCACTTATATTTTTGTTTCTTGTCTATTAAGAGTTCCGTTTTAAGTTTAGTCACCAAGTCGTTTGTCTGCTGGGAACCCTTTCATCGTGAGACTTACCCCAGAATTTTTACCAGCACTTTCTACCAGATCCATATTTTACATAGGTGTCACACAGAAATACACGTTGCTCTAAAGTACACTGCACCGTGACGTACAACACTGCTTACTAACTAACTGAGAACAAATGGCTAATGGAACTGATAACTGCAAACAGATGACAAACTGCCATGCAAGAACTGCACTGCTCACCATGAAACAATACTGTAAGGTGGTCCACAAGTTAATTCCAAGCATTATTGGCCATTGGGCATGTTGATTCCTCAGTAAAGTTCATGTGCTGCAAGCAGAACACCTGTTGCCATGAAGCACAAGGCTGTGAATTGGTCAACAAAGTTAAAAAACTCTTTGTAGTCGGTGCGTCTTCAAAGAAGTGGGTTGGTCAGAAGATGATGTACATATCAGAATTGTGGCAGGAGCATTGGGGTACTGTATTAATGATTTGAGCTAGTTGATGACAGTTTTGAGGTAATACAGAAGGACTTTAATTGTATTGATACACATTATTTCAAACAGTACATGAATGCAAGTAAGGAGGAACCACCTTTGGATATTGAGCCTGCCCAAGTCACCATGGAACATGAAGAGTTGATAGTTCCAGTAATATATCCAGAACCAAAGAGTGAAGAATCTGTAAGTTATGTTTCCATGAGTTTGTGCCATGTTGCAGTTCTGTAAACCCATGTTGGTATTTACATATTGCTGTTCTGTCATACTGTCTTAAAAGAATCTGACTTTGTGTATCACTTTGACATCTCAGTTCTTGAAAATTAATTCTGTAACTGATGGCAGTTTCTGGTAAAAGATGACAATTAAGCCTTTATGAAGTTTCTTAGTAACATGGTTGTGATTTCAGTGAGCTCCATATAACTATTTTAAACACTGCCTATTGTCTTATTCTTCATAGAAAAATGTTTGTTGGAAACTGGATCTCTCTCTAAAGGGCTGTGATGACAGTGTGTAATTGCGAGTGGATCTTATTCCATCATTAGGTGTAAGATGGAAGCTCTAAACTGTCGGCTGAGGCTATGCCATTCTAATGAACTCATCAGGGTGGGACTCCTTCCACCTTCACACATAGTGGTGGAAAGAGGTCCAATTTTTTAAACATCATGTTTGAAGAAACTTAAGATGATGAAAACTGTCCACAATAATAGTCATGTTGTAAGGCTCCAGCAGCAACATTCAGCCTTTGTTTGCATTCGAGTAGCTTCAGATACTGATTCTGGCCTGAAGAAATCAGTACTGTCACATGATATTCAGAAATATTTTGCACTATTTTTTGTCATATATTGGTCTTTTTATACCAGAATCAGAATACACAGAATATATGGTGTAAGTCAGACTTGTATATGGTTGAAGAGCAGTATGTTACATCTATGTTAAAACCACATTTGCCTTTCCTTGCTTCAGGACTATTTCTATTCCATGACATTTCAGAATTGTACCTATACTTCATCTGTGTTGTTTGTTATGTCAGTTTCAGTATCATTAGAGAGGTGTTCAAGAACTGAGATTTCTGGGCATATAATATGCAAATGATACAGATGGTAGTGATGTTGCATGTATAACATGCTGTCCCTCAACCATGGTACATAATGCTGCCCCTTGTTTCCCACCACTTTGGGGGCATAACTTGTATAGCCATGTTAAATTATGACTGCCAGAACAGTTACAGTAATTTGCTTTTTGCTGAATTTGAGGTTCTCTCAGTGATGACTTAGAAGCATACAATCTTCTGTGGTCTAATGTCATGTAGTATGATATAAGTTTACCAACATTTCAAAGGAATATACTGAATACATCATCAGGGGCCGAAAGTAAGCCAAGCCAGAAACCAGCGAGATGCGGGCGGCAAGAAGAGTTCTGCATTCCGTCTACTACTTGCTGGTTTCTCTGCTTGGCTTACTCTTTGGTCCTGAAAATGGAGACATTATGTTGGTGCACTTGTGCCAGACCACACTATGTTATATCCCAGAAGGTAGTACAGGATATATTAATTGCTATAATTCATTGTCATCTAAGTGAAGTGCCTATTATTGTGCAACACTGAGATGTTTGCATGCAGCCATTAAATAAAATCTCCAGAATTTCTTTGTGAGGGTGTTCTGCTTCCCTTTTGAACTTTTCACCACAGCCTGCTGATTCCAGTGGAGTGTAACTAGCCTATTTAGAGCACTAAACCGATGTCTTAAAGGGCACAGATTTAGGATATACTTCTCTGCGGAAACAGTTAAAAAGAACAGGATACTGACTTCTGTCAGCAGTGCATAGGTGATGTAGAAAGAGGCTCAGGCATTGTATGGAGACTGCAGAGAATTACTTTCTGTCGCAAAATGGCATTGTAATGTCCACATTGAAGATTCTGTTAATCACTTCCATATATGTGGTAGAGTCATTAAGTTCATGGAATGTGGTTTTACCGCATCATATTACAAGGTATTCTCATACACTTATGCAGATCCACATCGGCCCTCAGAATAGTTGCCATTGGCCACTATGCAAGTCTGTCAACGTTGATATAGCTGTCAAAAACATTGCTGAAACATATTGGCAGTAAATTCCCGTACGACACTTTGCGGCTATTCCACAAACTTATTGACTGTGGTAGTAGTTAGTTAGTTAGTTAGTTATTTATTGGAGAGAGTGGGTTTCCCCATGCACTTAGACCTGTATTGGTCCATTGTGCTTCCCTCTATGATTTCTGCCAGTCTCTATATCCCACCAGTACTGGTGCTTACCATCAGTCCCGCCCAGCCAGCGAGACTGGCTCTACTAGCTGAGAGGTATCTATAATGCTTCCCCCATCTACCAGAGGTATTAGAGAATGCTGTTGGGAGGGAAACGTCCGTAATTTAGCTCAGTGACCTCCTTTGGAGATATGAGGTTCTTTTATGTGCTGTAAAGCTACGACACAGGACCCACGGCTTAAAGTCCCTCCTGGAGGACTTGTTCCCTGAATTTTTCCGCCCTTAAAAATTCGACGACCTCCGCCGGGTTTTTGAACCCGCGTACTACGAGTCATGAGGTGGGAATGTTACCTCTAGACTACGGAGGCCGCTGACTGTGGTAGTATATATATGCATAGTAAATTTACGTTTTGACCGCAGTTACTATGAATGTAAAGCACAATAGATCAAACTGGTCGCGGTGCATGGGGAAACCCACCCTCCAATAACTAACTAACTACTATGAATGTAGAATTATTATTTGTTACTTAGTGTAGATGATTTACTGCAGGAAGAATCACTGGATTTACCAGTGGATGGAGTTGGAGCAGTACCTGAAGAGGAGGTATTAAGCAAGGACAGGTGAGAGTATAGCTAATGCTGTGTGGGGGTCATGCATAGTTATAAAATGTTATGCTGATGAGACAAAAAATCCCTTATGGATAAATTATATTGAAGACTAGATTATATGGGTTTTGTGGAATGAATCTGATACTACAAACTTTTAAGGTTGTCTCATAAATAATGAACCCTACTTGTCCTTCAGTTGACTATGACTATCAGGTGGCAAGATGGAGTCCTGTTTCTCCTGTGTCACAGATTCATGGCATTGCTCTTAAAATAATGATGGCATAGACATTGTAGGAGCAGTGAGTTATTTTGTATCAGACTGTCCTTCATTGCACACGGTGCATTAAAAATAGAGTGATATATCATCACCATGTAAACAGACATGTAGAACTTGGAGGAAATGGCTTTTCTAAATAACACTATGAATTTTTCACAGTCAACATGATTTCACCAAGTGTCAGCTGAAGTCATTCCCATGTGCATATGAACTTGGAAGTGAAACCAGAAAAAAATCCAGATGTCACATTTGTGGGAAAAAGTTTTCACAGAGTGGTAACTTGAAACGTCATTTTCTCACTCACACAGGGAAGAAATCTTTTAAATGTGACAGGTGTGGCAAGTTATTTTTACGTAGTGGACACTTAAAAGATCACATTCTTACACACACCGGTATAAGAGGTTTTAAATGTGATATTTGTGGAAGAGCTTTCTTGAAGAATGAACACCTGAAATTTCACATGTATACACATACTGGAGAAAAGCCTTTTAAGTGTGATGTATGTTTGAAAGATTTTTCACGAAGAGGACATCTAAAGGTTCATCTTCTTACACATACAGGAGAAAATGAATTTAAATGTGACATTTGTGCAAATGCTTTCTCACAGAAAGGTCACCTGAAGCGTCATATGCTCACACATACAGGCGAAAAGGATTTTAAATGTGACATTTGTGCGAAGAAATTTTCCCAGAGCGGACAGCTGAAGCGACATAATCTTACACATACTGGAGAGAATCATTTCAAATGTGACATTTGTGGGGTAGCATTTATAGCAAGTGGAAACCTCAAACGTCACATTCTTACACATACGGGAGAAAGACATTTCAAATGTGTTATTTGTGGCAAAGAATTTTCACAGAGCGGACATTTGAAACGTCACAACCTAATACACACTGGAGAATATAATTTCAAATGTGACATTTGTGGAAAAAGATTTTCTCAGAGTGGAAACCTGGAGTATCACATTCGTACACATACAGGGGACAAACCTTTTAGATGCAACGTGTGTGGGAAAGGTTTTCCTGTCAAGAACAAACTGAAGCATCACATGGTTATACACATAGGAGAAGAGCAATATAAGTGTAACATGTAGTGTGTTTTTGGTTAGTATAAACGAGACTTTTCACATTCTGTAATATTTACCTAGAAGCTGAGTCTTGTTCATATGCCTTTGAATATCAGAATTAAATCATGATTTCCACATGAATTTAAGTTTTGTGTTCTCATAGCAGTGACTTTAGTTTGTGGCCTTGTGGGTGAGCAGATACCAATATTTTGGAGGACCAAGCAGCAGCAGCAGCAGCATGCATCTTCAGGGTTGAAGTGTATCCCATTCCAATTGGCTTGGATTTGGTTCCATTCTTTAACCCCTCAGCATTTGAATTGATGACTTAAGTAAGCGTAGACTTGAAAGGATTCTGACGATGGTGTATACTGTACTTCTTTTGGCTTATTTTGGACTTCACCCATCGTCCGGTATATAAAAAGACAAAAAACCACAACGTTTCGGAGACTGGATCTGTCTCCGTCTTCAGGTGTATAGGGAAGGTTTAACCTACTCAGTTGGGCCCCTTAGAAAGAGCTAGTCTCAATCACTGGACAAACCTTGATCTCTAGAAACAACCTATGAACAACCGACAACCGGTTCCGTCAGTGGGAGGAAAGAATAAAATCGCAGTAAAAACACGATAGAAAATTTGTGCCAAACATGCACTTGTCAACAATGTAAAGAAACAGAAGTATGGGTTATATTCCATGAATTCAGTTAAAAACGAAAGTAAAAACTGGATAAAGCATGCCTTATCTGCATGGTTAAAGAATCGTGCCACCATGGCGACTTCCGGGAATCAGACTAATCTCCGGAAAAAAACTTGCAGTAGTAGTGGAACCACTAATATTCATGAAATTACATTTTTTGGTTTGGTTT